ACTTATTTGAGTGCCAATGTTTTATCTCAATAGTTAAATATTTTCTGCATTTTTTCCAGCCCATCTGTATTCATTTCACTACAAAATTGTTTTAAATTACCAGAAACAAAATTGATGCTCATGCGGGGTGCTAGATGATATTTTTTGACACACCTCAGTATACATTTTCTTTTGTGAGAGGCATAAGTCTACAACATCAAGTCAAAACTTCTTAGTCCAAAGTCCTTCCATAACTCATTTAGAGAGAAGGAATTCTTTTTTGTGGGCACAGGGTCTTTCAAGAATAGAGTATAACCCAGGCTGAAGTTCCTCGGTGGTGCAAATTAAACTACTAGAAAAGAGAAACCGTTTGTTCTACTTAGATTGTTTTTGGGGTCTTGATTAAATCTAAAGCCATCAAGGATATTTGTGGACACTACCACTAGGACATAAACACGAGACGTCTACTGGCCAAATTGGAGTGCTTTCTCTAGTTCAGCAAAGGAGTCAGCAAATCCTCCACACAAAAGGATTCCTTCCTTCACTCTATTGGAGGTATGGAAGGGCTTTGGGCTAAGGAGTTTTGACTTGATGTTACAGACTCTCATAAACGAAAATGTATACTGAGGTGTGAGAAGGGGTGATCTGCTCCAGGGGATGCCAAGATGCCAAACGATATTCTTTAATACATGTGCTATTAAACTTCCCCATGTGTACTATCTCTGTCAGTTTCCCATAGTGATTTATTCAACAAACAACTGTGTATGGAACACACATGTGCCAGGCACTATTTTAGGCCTGTGTATTGAGCAGTAAGTCAGATAGCCAAGAGTCCTATTCTCATAGACCTTTCATGTCACAGGGAGAGCACAGACAGAAAACAAGCAAATGAGAAAATCAATGATTTCCATGCACAGAATTAAAACAAAATGGCAAAACAGAAGAGAGAACAGAGCGAGTCCATGGCGACTCTAAATTGGGTGCCAGGAAAGGCAGCTGAGAGGAATGGCTCCAAATTGCTTTAATCAAAAATGGGTTGTGGAATGCAGCTCTTTTTAAATCAAGAAATTTTAGGGTAATTTCATTTCGTCTTTAATCCTGAAGAAAACAAGAAGGGAAAGCAGGAGATGGCTTGCTATTAACAGAAATAAAGAGAGGAAGGAAAGGACTGTAGGCTCTACTGGGTTTTCCTTGGCAGGGAATTCTAGCTAGCCCAGAGCATAGTCTTTTATCTGCCTTACTTCAGGATTACATATAACACGGGCTGCTGTAAAGTACTTAGGCCGATTTCTTGAACAGTATAAGAATTTATATATGTATATCTAAATAAGTTTTCTTCCCACAGCCCCTTTGGTAATGGTTATATACTTATTCAAACGATGCTGCTTAAACCTTCAGATCTATCTTCCAGAATTTGCTTCCTAAACTATTTGCAAGCTACTAGCAAAGTCATTTCCTTTTAATTTTGTTATCTGTCCTTTCCCTTCTTTCCTTCAAGCTGTACTGATCTCAGTTTCCTTTTTTCTTGCTAGCAAGTGTCCCCAAGGACTGTTGTGGTCCATTCCGGAGCTAAAAGAGTGGTGGCAGGAAACCTGAGTGTGTGTCTTGGTCTGGATCCAATCAGGGGAAAGGAGTCATACAGCAATTTAGACCGGGGAAAGTGTAATCTAATTATAATATAAATTTGGCAGGAGATTACAGTACAAGGGAATGGCTGGTGAGAAATGAAGAGAACTCTAAAGAATCCAGGAGTCGCATGTGTAAGGGGCAGCTGGCACACTGAGGGCAGTCATAGAACCCTTGAGCTTCCTGGGAACATGGCCGGAGCTCCTTGCATGGTAGAGAAGTCGCCCTGGCACCCCACGGGGGGAGCTTGTGGGAGCTCTGCCTGCTGGAACTTTACAAGCATGTACCTTCTAGGGACTTTGTGAAGCTGTTCATTGGCAGCATCTCGCCAGAGATGCTCTGCTCCCAAACTGTCCAGGATGGGGTGGGGTGGGGGATATGGAGAAAACTGCTGGTCACTGGGGGATGGAGGACGTCGTGCATCGCAGGAGCCCAGCGCTGAAGAGCAGGAGCCTGCTGAGTGAGCACGCCAGGACGAGGGGGACGCAAACCCCTTCTTCTGCGTGGTCTTGTCAGTGCCCTTTCCTGGCAAGGTTTAACGCCGTGCCAGCGGCAAAGGAGACGTACTTCAAGGTCACAGAGCAGGCAGTTATGGGTGAATTTGGATCTGGAAGGTTGTAAGTTAAGTGATCAGAACGGTGAGTAAGACATAGTTTTACATGGAGCACTTAAGGTGTCCAAGTAACTTATGTTTTTTGTTTGTTTGTTTGTTTGTTTTGAGCTACCTGCCTGCTGTAACTAATATAAAAACTGATAACATGCTTAATGGAAAGAAATGGTTGATCAAATATTCATTATACCGCAGTTCTCAAAAAAGTCAAAATATGAGTTATCTGTATGTCCAGGCCTAGAAATGTGTAGATACAGTGGCATAAGGGTCCAACAGAGCTTTCAAGGGAAGATGTGTCCTTTTCTTCTGATACTATACTCTTTTTTTTTTTTTTGAGTTGGAGTCTCACTCTGTCGCCCAGACTGGAGTGCAGTGGCCGCTCCTGGCCACCGCAGCCTTGACCTGAAGGGCTCACGTGATCCTTCTGCCTCAGCCTTCCAAGTAGCCGGAATTACAGGCATGCACTACCATGCCCGGCTAATTTTTTGATTTATTGTAGAGATGAGGTCTCGCTGCCCAGGTGGATCTCGAACCCACGGGCTCAGGCAATCCACTCACCTCAGCCTCCCAAAGGCACGGGATTACAGGCTGAGCCACCGAGCCCAGCTTACTATAGTCATTCTAATGTTTGTATTGTTCTTTTTTCTTTTTCTTTTTCTTTTTTTTTTTGAATTGGAGTCTCCTGTTGTCGCCCAGGCTGGAGTGCAGCAGCACGCTCACGGCCACCCCAGCGTTGACCTACTGGGTTCGAGCGATCCTTCCACCTCAGCCTTCCAAGTAACCGGAACTACAGGCACACACGACCATAAATTAGCCGGTCTTATTTATTTATTTATTTATTTATTGTGGAGATGGGGTCTCGCCAAGTTGCCCAGGCTGTTCTCAAACCCGTGGGCTCAGGCAGTCCCCTCACCTCGGCCTCCCAAAGTGCTGGGATTAACAGGCTTGAGCCACAGCGCCCAGCCTGTTTGTATTTTTCAATGGCCTTAATACCTTTATTTCTTTAGTGAAATAATGACTATTGATTAAGATAGTTTTTGTTTTTGTGGCTGTTCTATTTGTTTTAATTTTTTTTCTACTTGACAAATAAAAGTTAGCAATCCTGTGTGAGTATCCTTTTTTAAAAAGTTATGCTGGTCTATGAAATTCAAATATGGAAGTCATTCTGGCCAACTAAGAATTTATAAATATAAACTGTGGCAAGTCACTTCAATCCTTTTGTGAAGTGTTTAAACAGAAGTTTTGCATTTAGAATCTGAAAATAGTTGTCACCTGGTGCTCAACATTAACTTATGAACAGAACTTAATGGCTAGGGCTATGAACTTTATATTGTCTCTGCTCAAACTATTAATATTATTGTCACTGGATGAAAAAAATCATAGGAAGTTAAATAATTTTTCCTCAAGTTCTGTAATTAGTAAACAGCAGAACTAAGATTTAAATAGGAATCTGACTGACTCCAAAACGTTTCAGGATTTAAATAGGAGTCTGACTACCTCCAGAAAGACAGAAACTGAATTAATGCTTACAAAACGGAATTTTCAAAAAATAAAAAGACCAAAAGATTACGTACGTATCTAATATATTTATATGTATTTCCTAGAGAAAGGAAATGTAAAAAGGAACTTCATAACTTGTCCTCAAAGCTTACAAAATTTAATGAATGTAAGACTTAATAACTAGCTTCCATTTCCACCAAAGCAGCCGTAAATGCAGTAGAGTATACCAAGCAAGTAGAAAAAGTGTTTGTGTGTTATGAATATACATTGGTACATCAGGAAGGAATATGCTCATTGCAGATTTGAGGGCAGTGGCTTAGTTAGGTATGGACTTATCTGTATCATGTAACAAGAAGTTCAGATATGGATGGCTGCTGAGATTGTTTTAGTAGCTCAGAATTACTGCCAACCTTGCTGCTTTCCTCATTCCTCATTGCTGCTACAGTTTCAGCCATCACATCTCCCCTGAAGCAAGATGGGGCAGGGGATGTGCCAGCTGCATGTGACCCGTTTCCTCAGACGTTCTATAACATCCCCAGCTGCATTTGGCTTTGTTCTCATTAGCTAGTGGTAGGTCAAATGTCCTTCCCCGAAGTTGCAAGAGAATTTGGAAAAGCAGGAAATAACATTGCCATGATTGGCTTGGACCATGGGTCAGCCAAACTCTGGCCCAGGGGCCCAGACCAGGCTATATTTGTTGTAAATAAAGTTTTACTGGAACACAGCCATACCCATTTATTTACACATTGTCTATGGTTGCTTTCACACTACAAGGACAACGTTGAGTCATTGCAGTAGAGACCACATGGCCTGTAAAACCTAGAAATATTTGCTCTCTGGCCTTTTACAAAAAAGTTTGCTGACTCCTGGGTTAGGCCAGTCATGATCCATTGCCTGGAGTTGACCAAATGGACTCTTCAGGGATAACTGGGCTTCCATTAAGCGAGGAAGACAGGGGAGAAAGGATATTGGAAAGATCCAACAGTGTATGTCACAGGTGGTCACCTGGTCCAACAAGACCCAAAAGTGACAATATATCTTCTATTTCAAGACACAAGGTCACCTTTAACATATAATTGTTCTACTCCTTCATTTCCTCAAGAGTCAACTAAGATAATTCAAAAATTTTGCAGATATGCAGTATCAAGTGATTGACAATGTTATGCCAAATCATGAATTCAGGAAGATAATTCCTAATTTACTGACTTTGACTAAGATACTGTCAGACCAAGTCTTAAGTAGTGTTTTATTGATTGACATTTCCCTTTAAACTGTTTATTTTAAGGTTCTCGCATATACTGAGGGACTTCATGGAAAATGGATGTTCAGCGAGATACGAGCTGTATTTTCGAGACGTTACCTTCTACAAAACACTGCTTTGGAAGTATTTATGGCAAATCGAAGTGAGTTCCCTTGAATATTTTGAAAGAAAATGTGCTCATAGTTAGATGTTATTCATTTACATGGTGTGATACTATCTTGATTTTTCTCACTGTACTTCTCTTGTTAATATGCCCTCACTAAAACAAACAAAAGAGTTGTTAATAAAAATAATTTGTTTGAAAATGTGAACCCTAGGTTTTTCATGGTTAAAGTTATACTAAAAGCTGATTTCCCATGCAGATTCATTGACTTTTTTCTTGGATTTTTTTTTTTTTTAGAGACAAGATTTTGCTCCCCTGCCCAGGCTAAAGTATAGTGGTACAATCATAGCCAACCAAAGTTTCAAATTCCTGGTCTCAAGCAGTCCTCCACCTTTGCCTCCCAAATAGCTAGGACTACATCCACGTGCATCATGCATGGCTAATTGTTTTAAAAAATATTTTTGTAGAGTTGGGGTCTCATTGTGTAGCCCAGGCTGTTCTCCAAATCCTGTCCTCAAGTGATCCTTCTGCCTCAGCCTCCTAAAGTGCTAGGATTCCAGTCATGAGCCACCACACTCAGCCAATTATCTTTACAAATAAATTATGATAGGCACTTGAAAATGATTTCTGAAATTGATGGTTAACTCTCCTGTGGTTTTCTAAATCCTGTTTTTGTTTTTTTCTTCTTACCACAGCCTCAGTTATGTTTAATTTCCCTGATCAAGCAACAGTAAAAAAAGTTGTCTATAGCTTGCCTCGGGTTGGAGTAGGAACCAGCTATGGTTTGCCACAAGCCAGGTAATTATATCATGTTACACATTATCTATGACTTGTTAACATATTTCAGCCTCAATATGACAGGAATGTAAATGTGGTTATAATGTTATAATTATTGCAAGGACTAAGGAATTTTTTTTCTCTAAAGGTTATTTGTGGAAAGAGGGAAAGCGGTTATGAAAATAGCTATTTTGAGAATGACAATGATTAGGACAGAATTTTATTTACTATATATATAAATAAGTTAAAAAGTTAATTGTATATCATAGCTAGCATATAATTAAGACATTTTGCTTGTTAAAATCTTGCAGGAAACATACCAAAAGCCTCAAGATCACAAATGATTAATTGCTATGCAATAGCATAAAAATTATGTTTTTATAAATGCTATGTATAACTGCTTCTTCATTAAAGCAGTAAAATTCATAGAGTTTGTTGAGATTAATAGTCATTAATTATTGAATAGTTTTGACTATTTCCTAGATCTTTCATCTTGATAGTTTAGAAGAATCATTGAAATCTTATTTCATTAAAAGATACTAGTCTAAGTAGAAAACATAGTCAGTAATCATAGTACTCATGTGTTTTGCCAATATAAATGAGTCTGTTTTAGGCTCCAAATAAGTGAATACCTAACTAAAAGTGTCTTAGACAAGAGGGTGTGTGTGTGTGTGTGTGTGTGTGTGAGAGAGAGAGAGAGAGAGAGAGAGAGAGAGAATAAGAGAATTATACAAGATCTAGAGATAAGGCATTACCAGTATTGGGTTCAGAGGTTCAGTGATGCCAGAACTCTCCGTTGGTCTTGTATTCACAAAATCACCACTACTTCTCCAGATACCATATCTTCACCAAACTACATTAAAGTAGAAAAAAGACACAAAAGAGTTCTCTTTGCACTTCTCCGTTTTAGGAAGGAATATATTACTCAGAAGCTTCCAACAGTCTTTATCTCAGGTTGCTTTGACCAGAAAGGGGTCACTTTCCCACCCCCAGGACAATCGCGGCCAAAGGGAAGTGAGTTAGTTGACATAGCCCAGCCATTCCCTAGAATTTATAGAAAAGATACCTCTGACTCTTTGCTACCTCCCACCGGAACAAAAGTTTTCTGTTGCTGAGGAAAAACAGGAATTTGGCTTTAGGTGTCTACCTCATAGGCTGTTATGTCCTTGAGGATTACTGCAGAGTGCTGCTTAGATGGAAAGGAAAACTAATCTTTGTCTGGCTTCCCTTAAATAGGTTACAGACATTTGAAAGGCGAGGACTGTGTTTTATTTGTCTTTTAATCTGCAGCACCTAGCACAGTGCCTAATTGCAGTGGTGCTTTTTAAGTGCTGTTCAACCAAAGTTACTTGGTATTGCAACTTACCTGTTCTCTTTAAGCTAAAAGTATAAGACCAACCTCACTGACATGTATGCACACGCTCAGGGTATTTGCTAGTAGAATGGCAAGATTAAACTAAGACTGTAGTAGATAATGAAGCAGTTATATAAAATGCAGGTCAAACAAAAAACGCATTTAATCTATCAAAGAAAATGAGGTTAGTTTTGCAGGACTTGTTATTGGATCTAAGCTGACTCATAGTGATTACTACTTCCTTTCCCAAGAGCTTACAAACCATTTGTTTAGTCATCAGTTCAAGAATTTTTTTCAGGAATTGACATTAAGATCAAGAACTCACAAACAGGCCTAACTTTTTTTCCTTTTTACAAATCATCACCTGCCCCCTGGCATCTTTCTCAAAGACCATTGTTCCTGAGAGATTGCTAATAGGGGTTTCTCGAACCCTATTCGCATGTGTGACTTCTGCAGTACTCTTGGACTTGTCTGGACCTGAATTCACTGAAAACAACCAGAAGTTCTTTTACTGTCTTTCTTAATTTTTCTGAGTATCATTTCCCTTTTAGCCACATTTGGCCTTTTTCTGACTTTTGGAAGGTCATTCTTAGAAAAACTAGAAGCAAAATAGGTGTTCAGTAGTTTGGGTCTCTCTGTTATGTCATAAAGCCTTTCTCTCTTCAAACTCCCTTTAGTTGTCCTTGGCTTGTTTTCTTCCCAGAGACTCAACTCATTCTTAGTTTCCTAATATTCTTACAGGCTTAGTTTTGTTTGCTTCCTGAAATAGGATAAAGTAGCAGATGGGGTTGGGAAGACACTGAATCTAAGCTTAAGCCTGTCACTTATTAACTGGGTAGCAGTTAGTGAGCCTGGCAATTAGTAGGAATTCAAAAAAAAATTACTTCTTTTTTTGTTTATCAGTATTATATTTTCAGAGAGCTACTAAGTTGTTAAGATGTTAGGTTTTTATTGAGTGGTTTAGACCTAACTACTTAATAAACAGTACTTTTAGGTATTTCTCTTGGCCAAGGAGCACCATGAAAAAATTACTGAGACCCTAAGGGTACCATGAATTGAAAACATTCAAGAGCCTGTGTTGATCATTTTAGAAACCCAGTAGCTTTATCCTACTTCTAAAGATATAACCAGCTTTCATTATTTTTCGATAAACATACTGAACCTAGAAAGTTTCATAATTTGTACAAGTTACCCTTAAGTTATTCCTATGTCCCCTCTTCTTTTAGACCCAAACATGTTTTCAAAGTTCTCAGTTGTTTGTTTCTTGCATCAGTAGAGGTATATATATGTGGTGTGTGGCTAGAGGCTGTCCACATGTGCATGCTCTGTGTGTGAAGGCAGATGTAAAAAATGCAGTGACAGCCATTAAGTCAAATGCTTGTAAGGTGTCTAACTACTTACCTACCTCGTTAACATGGAGTAGATAGCTTTATTGTTTAACGTGGTCTTGATTTATTTTGGGTATAGATAGTGTTACCTTTTTTGTTCTTATTGACTTGCAAAGTACCCATTTGCAGCTATATTTGTATAACAGGGTTGCTTTCAAATATTTCTCACATTTTCTCAAATATTTCTCAAATATTGCCAGTTTCCACAGTTAAAAAGTATTTTATAATTCATCTAAAAAAATAAACCATAAATTATTTTAAATTGAATGGTATCCAACTAGTCTCACGATTAACATTGAATTTTTGTTAAGTATTGAATTAAGAGACTGTTATGGTCTGCTTAATTGCTAGGAGGATATCACTGGCCACTCCTCGACAGCTTTATAAATCTTCCAATATGACTCAGCGCTGGCAAAGAAGAGAAATTTCAAACTTCGAATATTTGATGTTTCTCAATACTATAGCAGGTAAGACATCACGTTCTTTAATGTCATAATATGTTTATGTTCATCAAAATCATTGGTAATATGACTTGATGTAATACATTTTTTCCTTTGGAATTCAAATGCAGCATTAGAATACATTCTGAAGCGCTCAGATTAAATTTTATCAGAAACTGTATAAGCTAACACTAAGGTTTTAGATGCATTTATTGTTTTGGGGAGGCTTTTCTTGCTCTCCTTCTGCTATTTCCTTTGCTGACAGCTTTGTCTGAAGGTTTATTAGAGTCAACAAACCATTGCCAGAGTGTCTGGAAATAATAATGGGAAAATGTAATTTCACTACTTTGTCATTTTTGCAATAGCAGCTAGACAGGAGAATAACAACAGGATTCTGCCTAGTACAGATGTCACCTGGATTATGGCATGATTAGGTTACAGCTTCTTTTTTTCTTAAAATCTTCAAATAAAAATAAAAAATCAGATTACATTTTCTAAATGATGAGTAACTGCCATCAACCTCAGCAGTACCGTGCTTGTAAATCAAGGAGGCAGTGGCTTTGTTTTTCTGCTAAATCAGTGGTTGTCAGTGGTTAAACATGTCTATGAGATTTAAGTACCTCATTCTTCCTCCTTAAGTTAAGCTCCAAAAGCCCTTATTCATGTTGCATTACAAAGAGTTTACTTCTGTAAATCAAGTTCTACAAAAACTTTTGCAATTAGATGAATTTAAATAACTACATAAATATGCCTACCTAGGAGTATTGCTTCATTATAGATGAATGCTCATAACCTTGAATTTACAGCAATCTTTTTCTCTGAGCCATTGCTTTAAAAGAATACTATGTAATATTACTCTTTTTAAATCTACCATGCATTAAGTGGGAATATGGATACTATGCAAAGATATTAAACATAGATAATAAAAATATGTATTAGACAAGAAAACTTGATTTGTCAACAAAAAGAAATAAAACGACTTGAAATATTCAATTTTTTTGTACTTAATCACTTAATACATTCATATGTGCATATATTCATATATACATTTACTTATTCATATATGTATGGTATGTACACATATATACCTTGAATAAGCCATATAACTCCCTCAAAGATAAAAGAAGTGTGTTAGCACATCATTTAGATAGAATGAACTTAAAACTATTTAAGTAAGCAGCATAGCAGAAAGAGCCTAAGCTTTAACCCCAAAGAGAAGAGAGATAGTGTCCCAGATCTGCCAACTTTGTGTCCTAAGTTGAATTTCAAGTTTTAACTCTATTTTGAACTTTCAGTATTTCAGTAGGAATCTTTAGTGTGTTTATATCTATTGTAATAAGTGATGTGTTTGGGCTTATATCCTCCTGTTTTATTCTATTGTTTTTAATGTTCTCCTGCTTTCATATTGTTTTGTTCTTTTCATATTGTTTTGTTCTTCTTTGGCCATGTGAATACTTTTTTGCTCACCTCTATAGAGATTTAGATTGTAAGTATCTTGTTATTACTTTTCCTAGTGATATATTTAAATTTTTAAAAGCCTTCTAAACTTAAAAACCATTCCTGAGATAACTTTAACTCAGTTTTTCTTCATCCATTGCTTATCCTTATAAATGTAAGTTAGTAGCCAGAAACCAAGTTATTAACTTCATACTTTTTAGAGTTTATGTCTTTTTGCATCTTATGAAGGATTTCAAACTATTAAAATTTTATTCTTGTTCATGCAGTACATTATTTTCAGCCATATGGTGCTTTGCTTGATTTTTCAGGATAACGTTCTCTTTACATTCTTCTGTATCATTTTTTCCATATTTCCTGTGCTATTTTCTGCTCCTAAGAGGGCTGTCAAGACTCGGTGTCTACCATTAGAAGGGCTGATGATTCTTCTAGGTGTGCTCGTTCCTCGGAGCTGTTGTAAAACTGTAGGGCACTGTGCTCTCCCTCACTTCCAGTTCAGTTTCCAGTCTCGCAGACATCCATATTAAGTGGCTCTTCCATTCTACATTGAGTTGCTCTCTGCCCTCGGGCTGGAACCTTTTCTAGTTCTTAGTTTTAAAGGGCTCTTCTAGTCGCCATCCTTTCCCACAGCATTCTATTTATGTCGTGTAAACTTCCTACGGTGTGGTATGATACCACCTTATAACCACCACCCACTTCACGCCTTTTACTTTCTGGGAGTCTCTTTGTCTAACTCTGAAAAGATCGCTCTGTTTAAATCTGTGTAAAGACCGGGCACGGTGGCTCAAGCCCGTCATCCCACCACTTTGGGAGGCCAAGGAGAGGATTGCCTGAGCCTGCAGGTTCAAGACCAGCCTGGGCAATGTGGTGAGACCTCGTCTCTAAAATACATTTTTTTAAAAAAAGCCAGGCATGGTAGTGTGCACCTATAGTTCTGGGTCAACGCTGGGGTGGCCGTGAGTGTGCCACTGCACTCCAACCTGGGCGAAGGAGTGAGACTGCAACTCAAAAAAAAAAAATCTGAGATTTGGATAAAGATAGCATTGTGATCCCTTCTAGAAGATGCACCTGAGCAGTAGAGAGACCAATATGCTTTCTTCTGGTTGGGACAGCCTTTGGATTTCTGAGCCAAAGCGTGCAGATCACAAGGGAAATTTGAAATTATCTTCCTATCCTTTTTTAATTATTGGAAGCTGTTTTATTTGATGACATAAATGATGTCTAGGCCACTGATTTTTTTTTTTAATTATTGGGTACTCCCTTTACAATTATTATAACAAAACACTTAAGCCTGACGATTGCAGGCAATGGGGTGACAACGAAGACCACAATAAGGACTAGGAACTAAGCACTTACAGTCCAGTTGAGTACGTGAAATGTGTACAAATAGGAGAGCATTTTAAGACAGCTGATAGTAAGTGCTGAAAAATCGCTGTAAATAATGAGTGCCAGTGGGGCTAAGCAGGAGGAAGAATTTAGAAATATGTCTGGGGAGAAAAAAGGGAAGAGCTTGACAGATTTCTGCCCGTCGGATACGTATGGTGTGTTCAGTGGACATGAGTATCATATCTTGACTGAAGCAGAGACTAATAGATAGTATCGGAGCTACAGGTCAGAGCCACATCGCAAAGAGGGTTTGGGAAATCAGTATCATGGTAGAATAGAAGGGAATACAATACGGAACTTTAGGAAAATTAAACTGATAATTATGATGGCATGAATCAAATTGAGGTAGCTTAACATTAGAGAAAGCCATGAGGAGAGTATTATAGAAATCCAGATATGAAGTCATTCTGTTCATTCTTTCATAAGTAGTTACTGCACATTTACTCTATGCCACACAGTCTGTGTTGCACTAAGACCACAGAAGCGGGTAGACTATAGCTTCTGCCTTTGAAGAGATCGTAGCATATTCAGGAAACAGACATGTATGCCAGCAATTCTACCAGAGAGATAAGTGTTATAGTGGGAGCATTTACAAAACCACTTAGGTCACCCATCTGGAAGCCATTGTGTGTAACTAAGAGATCAGGAAAAGCTTCTCCTAGGTAGCATTTAAATTGGGAATTGAACTATGAGTAAGAATTCACTGGAAGGAGCATTGCGAGAGAGAAAACGCAAGTGAAGATTTAGGTGAGAGCAGTGACAGCAGGAGTGGAAGAAAGAACCAGTGATACTTCGTACCGTGTCATCAGACAGAATGCATTCTTTTTGTAAAATATGTACTGTCGTTTGCTCTAGTTCAGCGGTGATCAAAGTGTGACCCCCTGACCAGCAGCGTCTTGATCTCAGCCTCCTCACACCTGCTGATTCAGCTATGGGCAGTGAGGCCCAGCAACCTGCCTTTCAACAAGCCCTCTCGGTGGTTCCCATCCAAAAAAGTTGAGCACCGTGGCTCTAGCCATTTAAGATCGAATTATTAGGATAAGATTTGCATATAAAAACTTTGGAACATACAAGAAAGATTGCAGTCACTACCTATTTGTGCAACAGTTAGAACTGTCTGCTTCCTTAGTGAAATGCCTTTCAGAATTCTTCCAGGTTTCTGGTATAACGGGCACTCTAAAGATGCCAAATTGTGCCAATATCTCTTTTATTAACATGAGTTCCGCTAAATAATCACATTATTTCATAACACGGTTTTAGGAATGTAGTTATTCAATAAATACTCATTTAAGTGACTTGATTGGAACTTAAGATATATCATTTCTAGGGAACTTAAGATGTATCATTTCTAGAAAGGATATTAGTCTTCTTTTTGACAAATTGTAATTTCCTAGGTTATTTAAAGCTGAGAAATGGTTGACTTAGATCTTATTATACTTTAGAAGCATTTCTTTATTTATTATGATAACAAGATTCAGAAAAATAAGTCTTCATTAACTCTGTTTTGTTTAATTTTTTATTTTGAAGCATTTCTTTAATTATTGATAATCAATATTCAGGAAAAATAGTAAATAATAGTGTTTATTGAGTGATTTACAAGGTGCCAAATATTGTTCTAAGTGCTTTATTCGCTCATTTAATCTTCACAGCAGCCCCATGAGTTAGGTTCTGTTCTTATTTCACAGATCAGGAAATGAGTACAGAAAAGTTAAATGATTTGCCCAAGTCACAGAGCTAACAATTGACAAAGTCAGGATGCCAGCATAGATAGTTTGGCTCCAGAGTCTTCAGTTGCTCCGGGACAACCATGGTACCCCAGTTTCTCTCCCATCATCAGCCTCGATTCATTAACTGCTTATGAAACCTCAACAACTAATTATTTAAAACAATTTTATCATCTTCTTTTGCATTTCGTCTAAAGAATTCTTTGAATTTATTTACTGTCATGACTTTTGTAGACACTAATATTGTAGCACTAAATCTAGGCCTGGAATCATTGTCTTTAATGTAGAATCTGGTGCTGTGTTCAGCTAGGTCTTAGATCCACAGAGAGACAGACACTGAGACAGACTTGCTTGAGAACATCTATTGGAGCTTTGGGATGGACGTCTGTAGGGGAGTGAAGAAAGTAGAACTAGGCAGAAGGAGAGATCAGAAAACCTCAGCGGATCCCACCGGGAACCCAG